GATGTAATTACTAGGTGAGGGGTTGCTATGGAAGGAATTATGCCCCCTCTTCATATGCAGAAGCTCTCAATCTCCATTGGACAGTGTCTAGAGATGGAAATTCGGGAGGCAATAGATTTAGGTGGGGTCCTGACCAGGAGACTTGGAGAGCTCTCTCAGTGCACTGGGGCCAGGTGGGGACCTAGTCACAGATGACCATGGGAAAGCCAGACAGAGTCCTCACCAGGACTCAGCCCTGCCAGCACCCCGGGTCTCCCACTCCTGGTCTCTAAAAGAGTTACAAAATGGGTGCCTGGTGTTCGAGCTCTCTGGGCTCACAATGGTACAGAAATACTGCTGCAGGGGTACAGGGTACAGGATGTCACCAAAAACTGGCCCTGGGGAAATACTCAGGGAGAAATCCCAGGAAGGTGGAGACAGCTGAGTTGTCCAGTGAGTTTGTGGGACAGACAGTTACTTTACTGTATGTTCAGGTTTTGTCTGTTCCTTTCTTTGAAAGGACCTGAGCCCCTCGCTCCACCCCCATGTGTCTTAAGTGGCCCTGCTTCCTTGGCCAGTGAGGATTTGTTCATGGCTGAGCACTTGGTCCCACTTGGAGCAGATATGTTCTTTTCCTGAAAATATCTGAGCAAGAATGGAAAGGAGACTTGTTTATCTCTGGATCTAAATCAACTACATCTCAATATCACCAGGCACAACAGTGCACAATTGCTAATGGCATTGGGCAAGACTCATTTGCCAAACTAGTAATAATATTCTCTACAAGGAAAAAAGAGCTAAGAGTTGTCCAACTTGCCCAGGAATGTAGGAAGTGGGCAGGAGACAGAAGCGTATCCCACACATGTTCCATTGCAAGAAAGGAGAAGAGGAGGGGGTTGGAGAAATGTAGGCAGCACAGGTGTGATTACATGAGGCAGCCATGCAGACAGAAGCTTAACCACCTGCATGTGCTGTGCCTGTGGAGTTTGAACTTATCCTGAAGAAGATGGTAGCCCATCACTGTAGGATGCTAAGCAAGTGGATGCACAGTCAGACTTATAATTTAGGAAGACCACAATGGTGGACAGGTGGAGACAAACATCCCATTCTGCAGAATAGATAGGTTGCTGATAGGGATTCCTACTCAATGGTAGGGCAGCAGGAGCAAAGTCATGGCCAGTGATGGGACTACCTAGGGAGCACTGAATGGGAGAAGGAAAGGAGGCTCTGGGAGGATATTAAGCATATATGCGCCCAAGACACAAGGAGAGGTAGATGAATGAGACAGAAAAAGATGCTTAATTTCAACATGAAGTGTTTTGTTAACATGCCACTGTTATTCTAGGAAAAGGTACTTTGAGATTGGGAAGTTTTTCTTAGGGGGACTTGTGGATCCTGATGCCTGAGAAATCTGTTCTCCACACACTCGTCCGTACAAGGAGTGCTACAGTTAGGACTCTGTCCTGTTCTCAATGTAGTTCTGAGCCTGATTTTGTTAAGATGTAAACAACTCAAAGTGGTAAATCTGCAGCATTATCTGTCTTCTACACATTAATAACATTAAAGAAGGTGGAAGACACAGCATTCTTCTCTCTCCTTCCTGAGTCCTTTTTGGGTCCGCCTTCCTCTGCTTTCCATTGCTATACCCGGACACCATAGACTGGGTTATTGAAAAACAGCAGAGAGTTATTTAGTCTCCGGTTCTCAAGGCTGAGAAGTTCAGGATCATGGTCCTGGCTCCCTGCTGCCGCTGCACAGGGTGGAAGCCACTGTGTAGCAAGATTGAGCAAGCTTAGATCCCTCTTCCTCTCCCATTAGAGGTGCTGATTTCAGCAGGGAACCCACCGTTTAACCCTGTTTACTATTAATTACCTCCCACGGAGTCCATCTACAAAAACCAGTAACACACGAATTTGGTTTCCAACAGGTGAACTTTGGAGGAACATATTCCATCTATAGTCAGGCCCTCAACCATAATTGGAGCAGGGAAGGAGCATGAGGCTTGTGAGGAAGGAGAGACTCATGTTTGCCTATTCTTTGCCCCTTAAACATGTACACAGACCCAGTTCTTGTCAGCTTTATGCTGAATATCCTATCAGGGTACCAGATTAGAAGAAAATGTAATAATATGAGAATAACACACAGCTTTTTCAAATCTTAGAAATTCTCAAGGACTTGACTGATAAAAAGACCCTTTTTATCAATTCCTTTTATTAGGTTACAGCTAGAAGAATGGATGTGTTTTTGCTAATGAAGAACAAATGTTCCTCAAATGCTTTTAAGTCATCAAACTCCTGGGTAGCAATCCAACCTAAAAGAGTCCTAAAGATTCAGAGTGCTAGAGACTCGGAAACCAGGAGAGAAATGGTACCCTAATACTGTGACTTGTGACATCACCATTAATTTTGAGAACAGAGCATCAGTCATTAATAACTAAATGCTGTTGGTCAGCTTTCCATCATTGTGACAAAAATGCATGACATAATCACCTTAGCATGGGAAAGGTTTATGTTGGCTTAGGATTTCTAAAGCCTCAGTCCATGGTTGCTTGTTCCTATTGTGGATGCCCGCTTCGCAGGCACACCTCCAAAGACCTAATTTCTTCCTGCTGGGCCTTGCATCCTAAAGGTTCCCCCACTGCCCAGTAGAGCCCTAGGCAGGTGACCAAGCTTTGCACACACAGACATTTTTGGAGCACTCCAGATCTAAACAGTCACAAACACATTTAGTCAATCTAGGGTGTTACAATCATTGTCACCTTTAAGATCCTCAAGTGAAAGCTCCACATGGTGCTCATTTCGCATGCCTGCCATTTGTGTCTGCTGTCGGGTCTGGGTTCCTTCACCAGAACACTGCCCATGGGACCTATGATGAGGAAGATCCAAGGACATGCGGTGAATGAACACCAGTTTCCGTGTGTGGTGGAAGGAGGATCCGTAGATCACAGAGGGGCAGCATTAAAGCAGGGAGAACAGTGCTGAACGGGAGACTGAAGATGAGAAGGTTATAAAAGGGAAGAAGCACTGGGATCTTGACCTGTGAAGGGTCTGCTGCAAGCTGGACCAGAGTGAGCAGCTCAGGGCTAGTTGCTGAGCATCACAAAGCTGATGGCATCTTATTCCTAATTGGGGTCCCAAAGCGACACAGGGCTAAGTGTATAGCATTACAGGTGGTGGATGCAATCAGATGATGCTCCATCAGATGATGGAGCAAAAGCAATATTTAAATTAACATTGCAAGAAAAATATCTTTCCATCCGTAAGTACAAACTTTTGGCTAAGCTGTGATGGTGTGGACAGAGGTCTTGGGTCTAAAGGAAGTGTCGGAAAAACTACTTCCACCCTTTGTGCTCCAGTGTGGATATGGTTCAATCAGGTATGCTCCCCAAAGGTGCCCGTGTTGCAAGTTTGACCTTGAAGGCTGCGGCCTAGACAGGGAGAGCTCAGTCATGGGAGCATCACCCTCAGAAGAGATTCACGTAGTGGCCCTGGGGCCCCCATTAGAGGGAGTTCTTGCAGATTTCTGAAAACTCTATAAAATACTGAGAAGCAAATGTTTTCTTATATCAACAGAAAATGGACTGTCAAACCTTGCTTGTCAAAGATCAGCCCTGACATCACCTCAGGATTTGTTCAAAATGCAGATTTTCAGCCTCCAGTCCTTCAGAATCAAACTCTGGATTGTAACAGATGTTTCTCTCCCTTTTAATGCATGAAAGCATTAATGCAAGTGAGACACTGATGTAAATCTTTGTTTCCCCTCTTTGGCTGCTCAATATAATCACCTGAGAATATTTTAAAACTCCAAATGTTCAGGTTACACTCTGTAGCAGTTCACCAGGGTCTCCATTGGCAGGTTATGGGGGAGGTGAGATACAGACATCAATATTTCTCAAATCTAAACATGCACACAAGTTTAAAACTTCTGGTCTAAATGCAAACAAAATTAATGTGGGTAGGGGCTAGGGATTTCGCTCAGTGGTTCCACCACCTGTCCTGCAAGCGCAAGGATCCGAGTTCAATCCCTGGTACCAAAAAAATTGATGTGGGTAGGGGAAAAGAAAGTAACTACTGATTGAATAAGTTTGTCCTATAGCCCTCAGGTGCATGAAATAATATGCTGCATTGTTCTTTTCTAATTCCAAGAGCTCTGGCTTGAGTTGGCGGGGAATGCTGCCCTGCTTCCACTCAGCAGCTTCTCCACATCCGTATCTATGTCCATATCATCTGTGTTCTGGCAGAAGAGCCTATCCTATGTGTCCTTCTTGTCGGGCTCTGGATCAGGCTCCAGAGTGTGTGGTGACACTGTATCTTCCAGACTCTCATGCTGAAGGTTTGGTCCTCAGCTTGCAGCATCACGGGAAGATGGAGAAACCTTTCAGAGAGAGTTTGGTGGAGGAAGTGAGGTTATGGGGTGCCCCTGAGGAAGATAGAGAGAACTGGCTCCTCCTCTCTCTGTCCCTGCTTCCAGGATGCCACACGGTGAGCGTTTTTGCTTGACCCTGTGACCCTACCATGATCTACCACCCCATCACAGGCCAAAGGCTTTGGACCAAGTGGTGATGGACTGAAACCTCTGCATCTGTGAGTGGAAATTAACCTTTCCTCTTTTTAACTTTGTTTAACTCATATATTTGCTAGAGTCACAGAAAACTGGCTGACACAAACAATAAAAGTCAGAAAGTATTACTAGTGACTGGAAAGGGCCACAGGACACTTTCTGGGGAAACGGAAATATTTATATCATCAGAGAACTGAATACTTAATGTGTGTGCTTTACTGCACATAAACTACACTGTTTTTAAAAATGTCTAGCTATTGGGAAAAATGCTGGGACAACCAGCTAGTCAAACAGAAGATATATATAAGGGTTAATTTCAAATGAACCTAAGAATGTGAAGAAAATTAAATCATAAAAAATCATAAAAATCCACTGCAATTTTAGAGCAGAAAGGCCTTTCTCTACCATCCACTAATCTATGTCAAAAGAAGAGACACAGATACCCACACATTCTTAATCTTTTCAGTTTTTAGGGTTTATTGGCACATGCTTGCGGTACAGAAGGACTGCATCCCAGTGAGCTGCTGGTAGCTGAACATGGATCACTTCTTCATCAGAAATGGTGACCCTTGGGGCCGGTAATCTAGCTCAGTGGTTCTGCTGCCTGCCTCGCAAGTGGAAGGACCTGAGTTCGATCCCTGGTACCAAAAAAAAAAAAAGAAAAGAAAAGAAATGGCAAGCCTTGTAGAGACCAGTGTCCAAACTGCAACCCAAAACCCATTTATTTATCACAAAGTGCCAACACTGCAATTAAACCTGAATACTGAGGTTTTAGTTTGGAAAAAACAACTCACATATTAACATGTTTTGTCTTAAGAGAAACACAAATAATGAGCGTGCCAGAGGTTCGTGACTACTGGTCTAACTTGTCAAGTGGCAATTTATTCCTCTGAGTACCTGGCTGGCTCTCAAGACAGGCAGGCCATAGAGCTGGGGATTTAGCTCAGTGGGTCCTGAGCCTGCCTTGCAAGTGCAAGGTCTCAAGTTCGATCCCTGGTACCAAAATAAAAAGACTGGCCAGCCATGCCATGGCACCTGAAGCCAACCTGAGCTGCTGCAGCAGAGGTGAGCTGATAACTCTAGACAATGTGGGGAGGCTCGAGGGGCTGAGAATGAGCTGTCAGATAATTCTCATGACCTGGAAATTCAGGGCCTCAAGTAGGGCATGGTGAATACTGCAGAATTTGTAGGGAACATTATCAGAGACACTGTCAGGGAAGGAGGGACAAAGGATGATCACAGAGTGTCCCTCAGATGCTGCATTCCAACCAGAGACCATCACAGCCTGCCTCTCATCATGGGTTCTGTGTCTACACATCCAACCCCCATACATCAAGAGCATTTCCTTTAAAAACTCCACCTGTCCTGAACATGTACAGACGTTTCTTATTATTCCCGTAAGGACTCAGTATAGCAAGCATGTACAAGCCACTTACATTGTACCAGCTGTCATAGGAAATGTAGAGCAGACATGCATCAGAGGCTAGGAGCAGGTTACGTGCAGGTTCTAAGTCATTTTCTAGGAGACTCCAGCATCCCTGGGTTCTGGTGTCCTCCGGGAGTTCTGGAGCCTACAGATGATGAGGGACAGCTACAGAACACTTTAACCTTCATAGTGATCTGACACACCTAAAGAGTATGTTTTAAGCTATCAAGCTATAAAATAGCTGACCTCATTGGTGAGGAAAGATAAATGAGCTTTTAAAATATTTGCTTCATACGAAACTATAAACTGATGTCACCATTTTGAATGACAAATAAAAACTGGAAGTCACTCCTAAAAGTCTAAAGATTTTGCCTATGCTTCGACACCATCATTCCATTCCTAGAGATTTATTGTAGACTTATGTTATAAGAACAGCCACGAAGATTTTGCAAGAAGTATATATTTCAGCATTTTTTACTATCACAAAGGTTGGGAGCATCTTATAGCTTAAATAAAACATGGTATCTCCACATAACAATGCTAAAAGAGCCATTAAAGTGTTATATGTGATTATTTATTGACATCAGTTCATGTTCACATTAAAATGAAACAAAGAACACACATTGGTACGTGTTGCATGATCTCACATATGTGTTCATAGACACATACTTATACATACATACTCACACATACTGACACACACACAACAGGAGGCTATAGACCAGAGATGGGGAACCTTTTAGAGAGTTTCATGATACAAACAGGCCGCTGTGGCACGCATGCCATAAGTTCACCACCATTGCTATAGGCCAATGCATTTTTCATGGTTGCCTTCAGGAGCTGGGACATACAGAGTCATAATAATTATTATTTACTTAGTTCTACTGTATTCTACAGAAATATATATATTTTCTGTATAATAAAAAGTTAAAATTATACAAAAGTAAAACTCTGGAACAGTGAAAGCATTTCAAGTATAAAAATATGAATTAGCGATCAGGATGAAATAAATTAGTTGTAACTAAATCATCAATTTGGCTCTGAGATCCCCAGCACCCAAAGCTGAAAGGGAAACATTCAGTTTTTTTCATTTTCATTTCTATAAAGATTAAAATATGCCATCACTGAGGAACAGCTGGCAAAATTTTTTCTCACTCTGTGGGTTGTCTCTTCACTCTGCTGGTGGTTTCTTTTGCTGTGCAAAACCTTTTTAATAAGATGAGACCCCAGCTGTTAATTCTTTGTGATATTTCCTGTGCGGTCGGGGTTTTGTTCAGAGAGTCTTTGCCTACACCAGTGTCTTCAAGAATTCTACCTATTCTATCTTCCAGCAGATTTAGTGTTTCTGTTTTAATATTTAGATCTTTGATCCATTTCAATTTTAGTTTAGTGCATGGTGAGAAATATGGGTCTAATTTTAATCTTTGGCACGCGGAAAGCCAGTTTTTCCAGAACCACTTATTAAAGAGGCTATCTTTCTTCCAGTGAAGACATTTGGCTCCTTTGTCAAAGATAAGAGGGCTGATTGTGTTTGGAGTTGTTTCTATATCTTTTAATCTGTTCCATTGATCCTTGGATCTGTTTTATTGTTTTGTTTTTGTTTTTTGCCTGTACCATGATGATTTAATCATAATAGCTTTGTGGTATAATTTTAAGTCAGGGATTGTGATACCCATTCTTGTCTTTGTGGCCCAGAATTGCTTTTGCTATTCTAGTTCTCTTCTGGTTCTAAGTGAATTTAGGATTGTTTTCTCCAATTCTGTGAGGCATGCTATTGGTATTTTGATCATGATTTCATTAAATCTGTATAACAATTTTGGAAGTATGGTCATTTTCACTATGTTGGTTCTTCCTATCCAAGAACAAGGAATATTTTTGCATCTTCTGATATCCTCTTCGATCTCCTTTCTCAGAGCACTGTAGTTTATCAGTGTATTAGTCTTTCACTTCCTTTTTTAGACTGACTTCTAAGTATTTCATTTTTCTTGATGCTATTATGAAAGGCATGGTTTCCTTAATTTCTCTCTCAGTGAGTTTATTATTTGTGTACAGGAATCCTATTGTTTTTTGAGTGTTGACTTTCTATCCAGCTATGCTCCTGAATTTGGTTATGAAATCCAGAAGTCTTTTGGTGGAGTTTCTGGGGTCTTTTATGTAGAGTATCATGTCATCTGCAAATAAAAACAATTTAACTTCTTCCTTTCCTATCCATAATCTTTTTATTTCTTTCTCTTGTCTAATTGCTCTGGATAACGTTTCTAGAATTACATTGAATAGGACAAAGAGCCTATCTAGAATATAGAAAGAACTCAAAAAAATTAGACTCCCCAAATTTAAAGACCCAATCCAAAAATGGGCATCTGAAATGAATATTAGATACTTCTCCAATGAAGTGCAAATGGCAAATAAATACACGAAAAAATGTTCAACATCACTGGTCATTCAAGAGATGCAGATAACAGCAACACTGAGATTCCACCAGAAAGAATGGCTGCTATCAAGAAATCAACCAATAACAAATGCAGGACTGTGGGGGAAAAAAGAACCCTTCTCCACTGTTGTATGAGTGTAGACTGGTACAACCACTATGGAAATCAGTGTGGAGATTCCTGAAAAACTAAAACTAGAGGTCCCATTTGACCCAGCTATTCACCTTCTTGGTATCTTCCCCAAAGAATTAACAGCATCATACCACAGTGATCTATGCATACCCATGTTTATAGGGCACAGTTTGTAATAGCTAAAGCTTGGAAACAGCCCAAGTGCCCATCAACTGATGAGTGGATAAAGAAAATGTGGGGTTTTTTTTAAATACATAATGGAGTACTTCTCAGCCATAAAGAAGGATAAGCTTGAGACATTTATAGCTAAGTGGATGGACCTTGAAACTATACAGTTAAGTGAAATAAATCAGACACATGTTTACATATTTTATTGTTTCTCTAGTGAAACTGAAAGTGTAAATAAGGACCAAAATATATAATAGATATTGGAAAATAGGGGAAAAAATGTTCAAATGGGAAGGAGAACAAGGAAGGGGGCGGAGGAAAAAGAAGGAAGGGAAAAGAAAAAAATGAGAATAGAAAGAAAAAATTGAAACAAAGCTTTTGTAAATAAAGGGGAAGAGGAAGAGGAGTTAAAGGAGGAGATGGGATTTGGGACAAAAGAAGAATAAAGATCTATCATGTACAGGCACAAATTCCCTATGATGTATGTGATCATTATGTGTATCTAAAATGTACCACAAAATTAATTAAACAAATATCATCTCCAAGAGAAGGAAAGCTGTAAGTGGAACTTCTTACATCGAGGTGCTTTTCATGTTCGATTTGTTATCTTCACTGCTTTGCTTCCTAGACTTTGTCTGTCTTTTGAATAAGAGGAATATGTTGGTGAGTTCTTGTACAATTTTTAGAAACATAGGAATAATATTCATTTGAACTTTAAACAGTCATATATAATAAGCACTTAATAGCCAAAGATGTTCACAAATATGTCCTAAAGTTTATTATTCTTAACTTCAACGGTTTTTATTTCAGCAACCAGAAAAGTACAGGCTATTTTTCATTTATTTGTTTTCACTTTTCTATCACTTGGCTTCCTGGCTAACTGCTTTCTCTTTTCCTCCTTTAACGATACTCACGGCGATGGACTGAATCCGTCCCTTTAAGAGCCGTTTCAGGGGTCAGGAACGTAAACCGTTTCCTACTGTTAAAGAGCCAGCGCTGTCCGGATGGCTGCCTGTGCAGTACTGCTCTCGTCATCCCTGGCTCCGTCTGCAGCTCTGTACAATGCTAGAAACATTTTGATCGAGGTTTTTCCTAGTTCGGTTGAGTTTTAACCAACTTCAGAGTCAGAGCAGATAACCTTTTAACTTCAGGTTCTTCTTTTGCGGTCTCATTGAACATATTTTGGCCTTCAATTTTTGACAGAATCCCATTAGTTTGTCTCCCCACCTCCATACCTGGCTTTTCTTCAAAGTGCAGCTGTGTCAGTAGTGCCTCCTTAGGGAAGTCAGGACCTGTGCTGCCCGCACAACATTCAAAAGCTCACAAGGAACGACCGGCCCTGGATCTCTGCAGTGGGTCAGTTTGAGAACCCTGCATGTCTCCTCAGGGCTCCAAGTTAGTTTGTGTCTTTACAAACAATGATTTTTAGGAGAGCCCTTTGCAAGTAGGTATAGTTGTTCCTCTTGCTCTATGGGGGATACATCCTAAGACCCCCAGTCATGTCTTAAACTGTACATAGTACCAATCTCCCTACACACTCACATACACATACACACACACACACACACACACACACACACACACACCTATGATAAACTTTACCTTCTGAATTAGGCACAGTTAAGAGTAATAACAAAGAATAAAATAGAACACTTATAACAATACATTGTAATAAGTTATGTAAATGCGGCCTCTCTCTCTCTCTCTCTCTCTCTCTCTCTCTCTGTCATTCTGTCTCTGAATACCTTATTGCATCATAAACTTTAGCAACCTCAGCATGGGAGTTTTTCCCTTCCCTTATTAAATCCGGAACTTCCTTCCTGTAAAGGAAGCACTTTACAGCTTCTCCTGGGCAAACTCACATGGCCAGCTCTCCTGCCCTGCCCCAGGAGCACTACCTGAGAGCAGGGATGCCTGGACACACCTGGGGCTGCCCACATGGTCGGTCTACTCACCCCAGCAGACAGCAGGCAACCGATCTTGTTCACACACGCAGTGTGGATGTGCTGGACAAAAGGATCCTGCTCACAGGATAGCACAGGATTTCATCACATCACTCAGAACAGTATTCAATTTAAAATTTATAAAGTTTTTGGAATTCTCCATTTCATTTTTTTTGAATTACAGTTGTTCCCAGGCAACTGAAACCATGAAAACAAAATTGCAGATCGGAGTACTGTGATCCTAGTAGCGCAATAAGTCTCATTTTATAATCTCAGATTTTTCTTTCTGGCCCAGTTGTTTTCCCTAGTTGCTTGACAAAAGCCAGTGAGAATTGAATAAAACTGGAGTCATCTTCATGCTCATGACTGTAAATATGCTCTACAGAGATCTATAAACCTAAGACATTGATAAATGCTTTATGAACCACACACTTATCTATATCCATTTATATGTTGCAGACTTTCCAGCCTGACTCTGAAAAATAATATCTTTTAAGCAAAGAGAATACACAATTAAATCGGAAAGTAAAGTTCCTCATCTCATCCCAGCTCCTAGCTCCTAGATTCATCTCTGAGACAAAGGAAGTAGCACTCCACCTCTCTTCCTACTGTGGCTCTGCCCTCAAACAGGCATAAGCTAAGAGGTGTGGGTCCATAGTTCCCAGAAAAGGGCCAAGTGAAGAGTTCACAAAGGAAGTATAGTGGTACCCAGGAACTTTGGACAAAAGATGCCAAAGACCTCTGATAAAGACCGATGAGGGGTGGACAGATGGACCCGTCAGATCCCAAACCAGGAGGGCAGGGAGGTGTCAAAGAGGGACACAGACCAGGATGGGAGGAGGACACAGAGGCCATGACCACAGAGGAAATGGGGGAAAGCCCAAAAGGCATGGCTCAGAGATGATATTTACATGGAAACAGAAACATCCTTTAACAAAGTGGGAGTTTCCACTCCCCAGAGCCTGTTTCTTTTACTACCTTTACTAAATGTAAAACCTTGCTGCTGCTGCAAAAAAAAAAAAAAAAAAAAAAAAGTGGGAGTTTATGTATTTTGACCTTTCTGCTCCATTGGGTGCAGTTTTTATGGTGACAAATATAACCCATAGAATACAGTCATCCCCTGGTATCTGCTGAGGATTGATTCAGCACCCCCTGCACATGCGAGCACCCAAATCCACCGTGCTCACGTCCCCTCTCTAAAATGTAGCATCTGTATAAAGCCTGGACACATGTACCCATGTACCTTAAATCAGTCTAGGTGACTTCTAATATTTAAAACGATGTAAACACTATGTAAATAGTAGTTAGAATGACAAGAAAATAGTCTTAGATATTTAATACAAACAAAAATATTTTTCTATATTTTGGTTGAATTTGCAGTTGTAGAACCTGAGGGTATAGAGGGCCTGTCATCTGTATCAGTCTTCTAGGGATGTCAACACAAATTACCACAGACCAAGGGCAAGGAGAGTTTAAACAACAGAATTCTGGTGACTTACAGTCCTGGAAGTTGGAGGAAGAGGTACGGTGTTCCTGGCATCAGTTTATCCTTCACTCTCATTGTGTTTCGCCTGGTCTTCCATTTGGATGATTGGTCCAAATTTCCTCTTTTTAGAAGGACGTTAGTCAGATTTGATTAGGGTCCACCACAAGGACCTCATTTTATTTTAATTAATAAGTTCTTGCTAAAGAACTTATCTCAACTACAGCGGGTGCTGGGGTATAAAGCTTCAACATATGAATTTTGAGAGGACACTGTTCACCCCACGACACAGGGGAGACCAAAGAACAATATAAATAAAGTATAAAATGTAAGGCGAATACACAAATTCCAAATTGTTTTCCGAAGCCTGCTTCCCTGAGGCAGCAAGAGAGAAAATCTCCTAAAATATCCTTCTAAGAGAATTGAGGTAGTATGCAGTTTTCATGATCCTCTACCCAGTTGTTTGGGCCAAGTTTTATTTGCATAGGAGGAAAATAAGCACTACATGCAGAGAGCGTCTTTGCTGGCCTGTAAAACCAGCAAAATTATTCACACTTGCTGCAGCTTTCCTGGACATTGCTTTACTTAAACATAGTCCTAAATGGCTTTTCTAGAGATAAACATAAATCCTTCCCCTTCTTCTGAGAAGGAGTCTAAAGCTGAAGCTGTGGGCCAACTCTTAAACAAGTTAGGTCACTTGTCCAGTGCGGTACCGTGACCACCTTTACTCAGGCTGGCCACTGCAACCACTTCTCACCATCTAAAGACAGCTCTGTCTTCTCCTGCATGTCAGACCGTGGAACAGGTCTATACTCTACGACAACCTGACTCATAGGATGCGTCATTGGCCAAGTATTTGAAATTTTCAAGGAGACTGACTCATACATCTGGTAGTATCTGGCCATGCTTGTTGCTGGAAACATTGCCATCCTTGCTGAGAGTGTTCGGCAAGGAGACTGTGCCCAGTCACCATATGCATGGCTGCTGTTCAGCTCCTCTGTGGTTGGGTGTCCACAGCAGCTGTTAAAATATTCCAACACGTTGGCACCGGCTGGTCGAAAGCTGGCGCTCATGTCCACATACCATCACCCACCTGCTTCCTTCCCCCTCACTGAGTCCTCCTATCAGCTCTGGAGCATGGTCAGTCCCGAGGCAGCAAGAGCTGCAGGACCACAGCCATCACCAAAGCCCACCCCACCTCCTGATGCTAGAGCCCTGGCTGGAAAATCACCCTTTCCAATAGGCACTTGGCACAGTGGATATTTATTTTTTGATTAAGGAAATGGGAGGAAACTGGCAGAAAAGCACACATTTAATTTAACAAATGATTACACATCACCTACTAGGTGCAAAGTGGTACCAGGTAATTTAGGGATCTCTGAAATGAATAAAACCTGGCCTCCGAATTCAAGGAGGTGATGGGGTGTCGAAGTTGACAGAGATGTTAGTTTCATAAATACCATTCACTTCCTCAGATTACCATGCTTTTAATCTGCCTACTTTGGTTCCTACTCAGTGGTCTATTTAGGTTTATTGACCTATTGAATCCGTCCATTCTCTGCATTATCCTCCCCTTTTCCCTCTTCCCTGTTCCCCCTAAGACAGTGAAAAGTACATGAAGCAATGATGCCTTCTTCTAATCTTCTGGGAGCACAACCGGAAGGGAATGAGGCATTCCACTGCACCTGCCCTGCCGGGCTCCAGCAAGCACAGCGTGCTGTTGCCTAACATTTAGCTTCAGTCTGTCAATTCCCTGTAAACATGAGACTCAAGGTCTGCCTGAGCTCGGCCAAGTGTATCCATGACAACTGTACTACAGCGGAGTACTTAGCATATGGGTAGCGAGAACTGTCACCCCACTCCTGTTCTCTAAGAGATCTTGCCATGAATAGTTGAATATTAAACAAATTGAGACATCTATTTTATGTGAATCAATATTACTTCCATGCCACTTTTTATTTATCTAACTCACACCACTGTTCCATAACAAGGCAAAAATGGAGAAAGAAGAGAGGAAGGAAGGGAGATAGAAAGGGAAGAAGGAAGGGAATGAGGAAGGAGGTAGAAAGGCTTCAAAGAGGGAGGGAGGGAAAAGAAGGAAATCATCCTCCTTAGCTTTGATTTTTAAAAAATCTCCAGTGACTTTTTCTGAAAGAAAAATACAATAACGATGGGCTTGGTGAATTTATGACATCTTCACCATAGAAAACATCTGTACCAATGTTAAACATTCACAGTAAATATCAAGGTATACTATGACAGTTTTATGAAGAGACATCACTAAAGTGGCATCATCCATATTTACAAAGGTTTCTTACATCTCCCTCCTATGTCCCTGTGTTTCCTACACACACCAGCTTGCTAATGTAAATACACTGTCATAGCAAAATGCTTTGCATACATGTGTAAGAAAGAAGGCAGGTGGATGAGACAGACAGAAAAGCATCAATGATGTCAAGCAGCTTGTATGAACTCCCATATTATAGTAATTAAAGTAATTTTGTAATTCTGGTATCACAGAAATGGCTGTATTCCATCATTTCATCTCTTGGGCATAAAAAATAATGAACACACCCTGGAATGACCACAGCATTTCCTCCAGCTTGGACCCAGTCCTCACTCTCTTAAATAACTCCAATCCTTGTAGAGGTGCTACAAGATTACTAAAGATGGCAATGTAACTTTGTTTATTTAAGAGGAAAACTTATATTTCCCCTGTAACCTTCCATACCTCCAGCCCATATTCCCTTAAGATTTAAACAAAGCTCAGATGCAGAGTAAAATTTACAAAACTTTCCATGGCTATAGATATTTAAAGAAGATTTAATTTATTTTGACTGTAGATCCATTGGGACCTATGAGAGACATTTTTTGCTACATCTAATTGATGTTCACTATGAAATTAATCACACAACTTGATAGGAGACTTTTGCAGCCAAAGAACAAACTTTTGTGCAATATGAGTTAGGTGTATCTCCTA